GCAGAAACAGGTCCCAGGGCGTGGGTGGGAAGACTGAGGTAAATGAGAACAAAATCAGCAAAGAAGCACAGAAACAGAAACATACAAGTCAAACTGTGTAAAAGAAAACAGCAGAAGATGGGCCAGTGCCAGAAGACAGCCTGTTGGGAAGCTAATGGGTAACAGCAGCACAGGCACTGGGGCAGGCGGCAGATGAGGCGAGAAGAGCGGGAGAGCCCGCAACCAGCGGGACAGGCTGGCAGAGAGGATCCCCTCCATCCCTCAAGTGACAGGCAAACAACAGATTATGGTCTTCTGCTGGAACCAGAAACTTTCTTTGTTCAGTGGCTCAGAGCTGTTCCCTAGACCTGTAAGCAGCCAGCCCTGCTGTGCCCAGCGTGCGGAAAGCAATACCTGTATTCTGTACAGGACCACGGAAAAGGTATCATCTCCCACAACTAACAAATAAATTAGCAGGAGGGATAACCCTTAGTGTTAAGTGATTGAGCTGAATTTACTTTAGCCAGTTTAGCTTTAACTCTGGCGACAACACAGATTGCAATACCTAATCCAATGCCTCAATTTTGCAAAAACAGAGCTCTTTGGTGTGGAGGGTGGCTCTTGTGTGAACTACAAGCCCAAGGGAATTGACTTGGGTTCAAAACAAGGGATGGGGGGTGGGGGAGAGTGAATTAAAAAAAAAAGGAAGGGAAAAACCTGCTTGTAATCCAGATTAAAAAGTGTCCGAGGCAATGGCACACAAGGGCCACTCTTCCTGGCTACTGCTGCTGTTAATGCATGGCTCATTCTGCTTTAAAAGAGGAGCTGCAACTGAGCAAAACCAACAGGCAAGTTTTACAAGGTGACGAAGGTTTAATTTTGCAATCTCACTGGCAATCTGTCCTCAACTCAGCAAACCTTTTAAGTATGTGTTTAACTGGGAACACAGGATTATTGATTGCAACGGGGTTGACTACCTACGTACAGCATGGTGATGTTTACAGCCTCAACTGAACTACGCAGGGAAATGAGGCTCTAAACGAGGAAGATTTATCAGAAACCCACTTTGGTCGTGCTTTTTTTATGTACCAAAGACTCTTCAGACTCGATGTCTTTCTCCCAGATCTTTTCACCTGTAGATGTCCCTTAAGAGCCGATCCGCCCTACCCACAACTCTCTGCACACTTCAGGCAGTGAACCCCCATTTTCTCATCCTTTCCCTTGCCACGCCTTACGGCGGTGAAAAAGTACGAGTATTTGTGGGTGAAAAGCACGAATATTTCCGTCCGCCGCTCCCGCCGCGGCGCGGGGAGCCCAAAGCTCCGGCCCGACGGCCGCCCCGGGGGGC